TAATACTAGTAAAAAATTAGGAATAATGAAAGATAGAATAGGATTGAAGGTTGGCATTAAAAAGCAAAGGATAATTCTTTTCCCTAAAAAACTAAATGATTAAAATGATAGTACCAACAAGCTCCAGTTATTTACATTTGATATTTTTAGGTTAATGTTATTTCTCTTAGAATCCAAATTGATTAGCCTTGACGCAACTAGTGTATTGATCGACGTTGAAAGAGATCAAGTTAACTAGGTACAATAATTTTGAGTCTAAACTATTGTTAAAAAGTAGATAAATGTTCAATATGATGTTGTGTGCATCTTTTACATGTATAAAGGGTTAGTCATTTGATCATTGGAGTGCTAATCTTCAGTACAGCTTGGTGGTTAGACCAAAAACCTTTGCTGAGTTTTATCAAAATTAAATGCTTTTGGAAACAAAGTAGGTCAAATTATTTCATAAGATGTTGACCACTTTGTTTACATAGTGAGTAGTTTGGTTGGGTTCAACACCTTGCCCATTGCAAACAATGCCTATTGGTTATATTAATTGGAAAAATCAAGTATGTTAGTTATGTACCAACCATGATTGTAATGTGATTGGGGTACAGGTAATGTATGCCAAACACCTCTAGTTTAGTTGAGTTTATAGAAAACTCTAAGGAAGAGTCGTCTTTAGCTTAGTTGTATTAGGATACATTATAAAAGATTGGAAAGGTTTAGGAATAATCATCATAGAAGTGACTAAAAGGAGCCTTATGGTTATCGAATCATATATCAAGTGCCACCAAAATAAATTGAGTAATTATAAGCCACCCTAAAAAAAAAACATAGGCTTTCTACATCAAAACTTATAGATGAAGATGAAATAACTAAAATGCACAAGAAATAAGAAATAAGAAACAAGAAACTTTAATAAGGGACATATGTACAGAAACATAAGGAAAGAAGAAAAATAAAAGGTCTTGGTAAAACAAAAGGAACAACTAGAACTTGAAAATTAAAAGTTGAAGAAAAGATTGGAAGAAGAAAGAAAGATAAGGATTCAAATAGAAAAAAAAGAAGAAAAAGGAATGGTTGAAAGAAAAGGTCAAACACTAAGAACAAAATTTGTATGTCTAATTAGACATAGTTATCCATTAAGGTAGCTTAGTTGAAAGGATAAAATTTAAAGGTAATGAATGCAAAAAAAAAAATTAAAAAGTTTGAAACAGAAGCATGTAAGGAACTAAGTGCCAAAAAAGAATTAAAAAAGGCTTATCAACACTCCAAAAGCAAAAACTCAATTTAGTAATTTTTTGCAAAAGGCTAACGACAAGATGGATAGACTAAAGATTCATGCCATAGAAGCCTAAGACTAGCACCAAAAATAATTATATCATTAGATGTATGTCAAAAACAACTTAATTTAAGATAATGGTAAATACAATGTTATTGTAGTATACTTAAGGGTCCAAACAAAAAAAAGCATTGATTAAAGCTAAAAAGTTATGAATCTTATCTTACTTTGTGAGTAACTAGAAGCAAAGTTATGAAAGAAGATTTTAGAATCTTGTTGAGGGATGCCATGATCTTTTAAAGTAAATAGCAAGATATGGTAGGGTTTTTTATGTATAATTTACTTATTGAGATATTAACTAGTACATAAAAAGGAAAGATATGCTACTATATGATTGATTAATGAAGCATTTTGTATGTCTTACCTAATTCTTATACAAATTCAAATTCATAATAATTGAAAAATGTTAAAGAGCAATCAAAGACATGGAAGTATAAGGTTTTATAACCTCTCCAACAATCTCTCCCTTAAGTAGGATTTTATTAGTCCAAGCACTTATTTGTTGAGGTGAAATTGATCCAATTCAGAGTTGTTGATGTTTATACTAATCGATCATAGAAGAAAAATTCTAATTCATTCCGATTAAACTTCTTTCTTATTAATTTGGAAGTTCTCCTAAAATATAAGGAAATGTTTCAGTTCCAAAGCCTAAGATCGTAGTTTTCGAATGAGCAATCAAAAAGATTCTAGAGCATCCTCAAGTTTAGGTATTGTTCATCCATTGATCGTGGTACAAATCACTTTTTGGCAAGCTCTAATATGATTAGATTTATAAGTAAGCATCTCTTGTAAAACATGAGAAACACCACATCCCTTTAGAGCCCAAACCTCTATTTCTCCTACCCGTTGTCCCCCTTGTTTGGCCCTTCCTCTAAGGGATTGTTGTGTACAAATGCAAAATGCTTCGACATATCACTTAGCCTCGTTCATCTTCGCCGTAAGAGAGCTCGATTAGTGAGTTATTACGCACTCTTTCAAGAGTTGTTGCTTCTAGGCAAACCTCCTAGTTGTCACTATACCCCTACCTCTTTTATCACTGAGCGGTCATTTAGGGGCTTTAACTGGTGATCTGGATTGTTTCCCTCTCGATGATGAAGCTTATCCCCTATTATCTCACTGGTTAACCTTGACCCCTATTATTTTGAGGTCATATCTAGTATTCAGAGTTTGCCTTGATTTGGTACCGCTCTCTCGGCCCGTACCAAAATAGTGATTTACCCCTAGATGTCCGATCAATTGCTGCACCTTGACTAATTATGGGGAGAACCAGCTAGCTTTGGGTTCTAGTGGCATTTCACCCCTAACCACAACTCATCTGTTGATTCTTCAACATCAGTCGATTCAGACCTCTACTTAGTTTTACCTAAGCTTCATCCTGGTTATGGATAGATCACCCAAGTTCGGGTCTATAAGCAATGATAATTACCTTATAAAGACTCGCTTTCGCTATGGCTTCGGTGGGGGCCTAATTCTAATTCTTTTATTCCAAAGCAAAGATATCCACGGGGCGGTTTGTCCTATTTAGATATTCATGTCCAAAAAGTAATGGATTCTCTTTTGGATAGGCTTTGAAAGGAGAAAAGGAAGGTTGGAATGCCAACATACACCTATTATTGAATTCACCCAACCTGATAGTACTCATTTTATTTTGGGAACATAACTTCCAATGCCAAAATCACTAAATCGGCAAGTCGACAATCTCTAAAATGGCTATGTACTATACTTTATCTGTTGGGTTACAAACGGGTATTTTCTAAAGGTTTCTATTGTATCAGAGCCAATTTCAATAGATTTATTGGAGGGTCCCATTAGCATGCATCCAATAGGAACTGAACCTTGGAATTAACCAATTATGAGTTAGGTGTTTTAACCATTCAGCCATGGATGCTTAACAGGGATCCTCGTATATGGTGAATAACCAAATCTCAATTGAAATGATATTTTTAGGATAAATCAATGCAATTTAAATGTAGGAGGAATTAATTAAAAGACATTAATTCAAATCCTAGATTTTTGAATTGAGAGATATCAAAAATTCTCACTATTTTTTAGATTTATAGACCCAATTTAATTTGGGAGTCCAAGAGTTTTATAAAAGGTTATTGATGGAAAAAAATATGAATGAAAGATCAATTTTGTAAAAGCTTTAAAATTTGCGGCAAACTTAATGTGTTTGCTCTCTCCTTTCTTCTTCACTATTTTTCACTTGTCCTATTGTCTTCATGTGGAATCTATTATGCCATCTATTTTATGTTATTTGATAAATATTTAATGCTTTTTCATTAATTAACGCTTAAGAGTCTTTTAAGTCAGGTCAATAATTGGTGTTCATGTTTTTTGCATGGTTATATATATTTGCGGCACTAGTCTGAGAAAAATAATGAAGAGAATTTGGAGAGGGGCTCTTTGGAAAATGCTCCCTTTCTTCTTTCAAAGCCAAGATCCTTTACCATTGATCAAAAAAAATCAAAAAGGAAAAATCATCTATCAGTCCCGGATGTTTTTATCCTCCTGGAGTTTCTTCTTTGATTGAGTGTTATAGTATTTTGAACTTTTTATCTTATTAAAAAAAAAATAGGCAGGCTCTCAAAAACTAATTAACAACACTTGCATATGTTTTATATATACATTAAAATTTACTTTTGATAAGCCCAAAGCAAAGGACGTGTAAATTAACCAGTTTTCAACTAAAATAAGTCCCCACCGGCACAAATCCATTTCAGCACCTACCCTTGAAAATCCTCTGCACAGCCCACGAGGTGCATCCTTTTTAGTGGCATAGTCTTCTGCAAATAAAAAGGTTCGCGACTAGGCATCTCCCATCATGATCTATGCAATTATCTATACTTCCATGATTTGATCCAGATTCTGAAAAACAGTACTTTCTTCGGGCGAGCCATGGAGGAGTAGAATTACTAGAATCACTGCCTTAGGACTGCCCACCGTCGGCCAACCATCAGATGATTGTGCAAGGCAATAATTAAGAATCATTTCGTGATTTCAAATGATTCTTTGAACTTTACACGTATAGCCCACCAATGGGTCCAATCAAGTAGTTTTTTTATTTCTTCTTCTCTTTTGGGCTACAGGTCTATGCATAACTTTAACTACTTCGATCAACTAGAGCCATATAATACCTTCAAAATGAGGACACGGCCTTGAAAAGTTGTACTAGAGTGCCGAGGAAATTGAAAAATTGGTGCACAGAGTTGCAAATTTGTTCAGGTAGGTAGGCTTGGACACCAATAAAAAATAATAATCAATGCACTCGTTCAAGCATACGACTCTCACGGCCTCCAACATATATTTGGAGGTTCTTCCAAACCACGCGGTTAGTCTATTTTTATAAAAATATTTTTTAATTGCAAATATATTAGAATAATAATTTTTTATTTTTTTTGTATTATACCTTAAAACTATTAAAATAACATCTAAAAAATATCAATAAAAAATTGCGAAGAGGAGGGGTCATAATGATGTTATCAAATTCCTCATAAGAAGTCGATCGGTTCATGTTCCATATTCTAAAATAGTATTGGGCCTAGGCGGACTTTGGATGTTTTAATCGATTTGGATCGGTAAATTTCATGAATAACTGTTTGCAATATCCAAAAATAACCATTCCGCTCTTCATTTTTCACTGTTTTTTTCTTCAGAGTTTGGTACTTTTAATCGATTTTGTTGCATCACAAGAACTTGTTCATGGATATACCTCCCAATAAAACCATGAGCCAGAAAGAGGCAGGGAAAGATCAAAAGGATAAGATTGTGGAAGCAAGGGCCAACACCAACAGAGTAATCATCAGCATCTACTCTGAATCTCCGAGAAAACGTTTACAACAAAAACATAATCCCGCCACCAAGAAAACCATGAGAACTCCTGGCTATGATCGCCGGGCTCAGCTTCTATCGTATGCCAGCGAGCTAAGATGCGCTGGTTCCGAGCCCATGGAGTGGTCCAGACGGAACTCTAGGCCCAGGTCAAAGGTAACTCCAATCTTTCCCTTCTCATGTCCTCCGAGAAGTACTGCATTGTAAACGCTCGGTGGCATTACCAAAATCTGACAAAAAATAGCGATGCATGAACAGAAATGGAAATGGTCAAGCGGACCAGCTAGGATTCGGGAATCATTTCTTAGAATGTGTCAGCAAAAAGACAGGCAATGGGGGTACGAGCGAATTGTAACAGAAGAAAATGGTGAAGCAGACCAGTTGTGGGGCTCGAAACGCAATAATAGCAGGATCCAAACGGGAGTCTCCGATAGCAGACACCCCAGTTTTTGTGTAAAATTCATCAATCATTTCACTTATAGTGTCATCTATCTATACACTGTAGCTACATAACACAAATTTTTATCTTTTTTAATGCAAAATCTCCAATTTCTTCTTTTGCAGAAGAAATTGACGTGTATGCTCAAGGATTTAAAATGTGGATTGCTGTGCAACAAGGGGTAAGGAACAAAGTCTCTTCATTTTTACATTTTAGAAATATTTTAATTTGTTAATATTAAAAAATATTTTTAAAAAATAAAAAATATTATCTTAATATATTTTTAAATAAAAAAATACTTTTAAAAACAACTATTATAATATTTTCAAGTATCTTCTTTAATTCTTTTTTAAATAATTTTATCATTTGAAATAATATTAGAAATAATTTTTTTATTAAGTGACTTGTTATCATGTATTGGTATTTTATTAATTATTTAATTTCATAATAATTGTTTATATTTTATGACCTGAAATTCGTTTCTCTTGTAATAGATCTATTTAATAAGCAAGACTTGGTAAACAAAAATTAATGCCGCTAGCGTGAGCCCGGTGTTTATGCCAGAAGAAATTGACGTGTATGCCCAAGGAATTAAAATATGGATTGCTGTGCAGCAGGGGATAAGGAGCAAAAGGCCAAGGGGAGATATCTATTACATGTTGGACGTTATTTATTTCTATATTTTAAAAGTATTTTTACATATTAATATTAAAAATTATTTTTAAAAAATAAAAAATATTATTTTAATATATTTTTAAATAAAAAATATTTTAAAAAATAATCACTATAACTCTTTCAAATACTTCTTTAATTCTCGTTCAAATAATTTTATGATTTGAAATAATGTTAGAAATATTTTTTTATTAAGTGTCTTGTTATCATGTAATTGAAGTTTTATTAATTATTTAATTTCATAATAATTATTTATATTTTATGACTTGAAATTCTTTTTCCTTGTAAGAGATACCGTGCTATTTAATAAGCAAGACTTGGTAAACAAAAATTAAAGCCTCAAGCGTTAGCCCGGTGTTTACGCTAGTTTTATTTGTATAAGATTAGTGGGCATCGCAACAACGTGCCTGTTACTAAATAGTAGCTGAAGTGGGATGCACGCGTCTACGAGGAGGAACCGGATGGAAGTGAGGGCATGACAGCTCCTTGGATTGCAATATATTATTGGTTGGGCACATCATGAGAATGAAGTGCCGCCCCATGTTTTTTATCCTCAATAAAACATACTCAATGATTCGATTTTATTTCAAAAGTTATGAATGATGTTCATTGCAATCCCTAATTTTATTCATTATATTGCATTTTGTCCCTCAAATTTCATTTAAGTTGTGGTTTGGTCCTTGATTGTCAAGGAATAATAATAGAGGAGAGGCGGGAGGAAGGAGACATAAAGCATTGATGTGGTTGGAAACACGTTAAAGGTATTAAATAAATAAAAAAAAACTAATTATTAATAACTAAGATCTTGAATTGGATCTAAATTCTAATTTAATGATTTGATTTGATTTGAGTTGAGTTTTAAAGTTTGTTAAATAGATTAAAATTATTTATTTATATTGAAAATGAAATTATTAAATTGAAAATAGTATTTTAAGATGCTTAAGAGTGGCCGGGCCAATTTTTTTCATGTTGATTGAAGTTGTTGCAATAAAATGAGCACATAATACGATATCAATCTTTTTCAATTATCTAGGCTTGAGGATAATTTTTTTGTTTAATTTAAATATGCATGTGAGCTAATCAAGATGAGCTCATGTCGTGTTAAGGCTTACACCTGGTAGGCCTTGGCATGAGCTAACCTAAATTTTATTTTTTAAAAGTATTTTTATTTCTTGTTTGATTTTTTTTAATTATCCAAAATTAATTATAAAATATTTTTGTGTTTAGAGATATTTACATTCTTAAAACAATTTATAATTTTCAAAATCCTTATTATAACAAATATTGTAAAAGTGAATTTAACTTCATTTAAAAAAAAATTCTCTATTCAAATTATTTTGGCCCTAGAATTTTTATTTATGAAAAATAAATGAATTTTCTCCTAAAATTTAAGACACTTAAAATTTCATCTTGAAATTAAATAATTAAAAAATTATACAAGGTTAAGGTTCATATAAAAACTACAATACAATAAAAAATCTTAATATGAAATAAATAATTATCTTGATTCAAAGAAAAGTCAAGCTTGCGATACTTTTCTTAATTGTTTTCAAAAAAAATTAAATCCATATTTAAAAATAAATAGTTAACTCAAGCCAAAAAAAAATGTACAATTGTTATCAAATATTACATTTAGAGCAAATTAATAATTTCTAGACAAATCGACAAGAAGACAATGCATGACGGGTTTAGAAATAGATATACTATTATAAAAGATGATAAAACCATCACCCTTGTACCATTACCACATAAAAAAAAATATTGTCGTCACGTTAAATTGAAAAGAAAAAGTGAGGTCAGAGAGAGAAAATTCAAGTTAAAAACATGGTGAGAGAAAAAAGTCAGATTCGATCATAAATGAATTAAAATTAAATTCTAATGAGAGTGGAGATAAAAAAAAAAAAAAAAGCAAGCCAGAGTAATGTGGAAAATATAAAGAAACAACATATTTTTTTATGCAAGAAAAGGTGGGATTAAATCTGCTTTTTATGCTAACGGGCCGATGATATACTTATGTATAAGGAGGCTTAGTTTAATACTAATGATCTTGATTCTTATATTTATAGTGTGGTTGTGAAGATATTTTTGGTGGATTACCACCAATTAGAAGAAGTGAAAATCAAATAGACTTTGTACCCAAAACTGTAATTCCAAACCAAATAGCCTACTAAAGTAATCCTAACGAAACAAAAAAACTTTAAAAGCAAGTGAAAAGTTGATGTCAAAAGGGTACAAATAGGAAAGCACGAGTTCAAGTGTTGTTTTGTTTTTACTTGTACCTAAAAATGATGGAACTTGAAGGATATGTGTTGATTGTCATGCCATTAGCAACATAATGGTAAAGTATAGATATCTTATCATTGTGTTTGATGATATGTTAGATAAGTTGCATGGATCTTGTATATTTTTTAAAATTAATTTGAAAAGTAAATATCATCAAATTAGAATGTGATGAATGAAAAATCATGTTTTAAGACTAAGTATGATTTATATGAGTGGTTAATCATACCTTTGGAACTTACAAATGCATTTAATACATTTATGTAATTGATGAATCATGTGTTGCATGTGTTCATAGGCAAATTCAAAGTTGTGTGCTTTGATGATATCATAGTTTATAGTAAGAACTTGATTGATCAAGTTGAACATTTATGCAATGTACTTGATGTGTTATGTTGAAAACAATTGCATACTAATCTTAGAAAATGTACTTTTTTTATGAAAAAGATTGTGTTTCTCAATTATATTGTAAGTGTGCAAGATATTTAAATTGATAAGGAGAAAGATAAGGTTAACCAAAAAGATAAGGTTATCCAAGAATAGCTTACACCTAAATCAGTCATTGAGGTAAGAAGCTTTCATAACTTGGCTAGTTTTTATAAATATTTTGTCTTTAACTAAAATTATAAAAAGATCTGTTACATTTAAATGGGGAATTGAATAGGATAATGCATGTAATTTGTTAAAAGAAAATTTATGTTCTACATCTACTTTATTTTTACTTGACTTTACAAAAGCTTTCGAGAGTAAATGTGATACATAAGGAATAAGTATTATAGTTGTTTTAATGTGGGATAAAAAAACATTGCCTACTTTAGCACAAAGCTCAATGGTGCAACCTTACCTAATATATGATAAAGAACTTTATATGATGATGAGGACTTTAAAGATATAGCAACATTATCTATGGCTAAGGAATTCATGATTCATTCGAATCATGAATCATTGAAGCATTTGAAATGGTAAGGTAAAATGAATTATAGACACGCCAAATAGTGTAAATTATTAAAACTTTTCCATACATAATCAAATACAAGTAAGGTAAGGAAAACATTGTGGTTGACACGCTATTGTGAATGCATATTCTTCTATCTACTTTGATTACTAAAATATTGAAATTTGAGTTTGTGAAGAAATTATATATAAATGATAACAGTTTTGCTAATATATATCATGCATGTGAGAATTCAATTTTTAATAAATTCTATATACTTTATAGAGAACTATATAAAAAGAATAGTTTATGTGTGCCTATAAGTTTTATGCATGAATTGCTTATTCATGATGCGCATAAAATGTGGTTTAATAGGGGTATTTTAGTGTAACTAAGGCTTTGGATGTATTGTATAAACATTTTTATTAGCCCAATATGAAAAACAGTTATGTATTGTATATGTGATAAATATATTACATATAAAAAAACCAAGTCCAAGGTCTAATCACATAGTTTGCATACTCTTTTGCTTGTACTTAAAAACCTTAGTAGATATTTCAATGGACTTTGTTTCAGAATAATCTATGTCAAAAAGGTGTAGTACACCTTGAATTGGGAGAGACTAAACATGCTAAAACCGACATTGTTTCGAGCATTTATAAGGGGTCGTCTTCAACTACTCACGTATGTACGCTATTACTTTCTTACTTTTTTCTTTTTTTATAGATGTTGTGTAGCGATTTTGGGTACCAATTTTTCTTTCTTACACATCCATTAAATGCAAAGAGATACACCCCTATCTTTACCTTTAATTATACTTCATTTTCAGTCAAAGACTTGTTGCATTGTATTCCTGAAATTAATGAAAACACATGCCAAAGTAATCAACTCGAATATGTTGTACAAAGTGTACAACAATGGCGGATGGTCAAGCTCGATCAAAGGATATCAATGAAGAGATTGTTCCATCTAGAAATGTTTTAGGACCTTCATTCTTGCTTATAAATTGAGGAGTATGTTGAGAAAAAAGAACATATCTAGAGAGAGAAAAATCTAAATTTGAGAAAGATAAAGAAAAAATAAGATTTGCGTTTAAACCAACTTGCCTAAAAGATAAAGGGAAATAATTAGAAAAAAAAAGAAAAAAAAAACAACCCAAAACCATTAAAACCCGAATAAGGTACAGAGTGAAAGGTCAATTTTTGGGTTATTAAACTGATTTATTACAAATCAAAAGGTTATAGTGGGAAAAAAGAGATAAGAGAGAAATAAAAGGAAGGGGAAAATAAGGAAAAAGAA